GTGTGAGCCGATATGAATTATCACCATCATTATTATTACTATTATTATTATTATCATTATTATTATTACCACATGTTAATATCATTGCTGTGATGCTTCCACATGCCGAACGAAGCTAAACCAGACTCTTCACTCTTTTACTGCATACTACCAGCTAACACACACTGTCAGTGTTTTATTCGATATTCAAAAACAGACAGGTGTACATTATTTTCGATTCCTACATTAACATATTAACTTTACAAAGAAGCTGAAGCTTAAAAACAGAATCGGCAATGTTACCCTCTGTGTGTGGCTAAATCGAATGCCACGGAAAGGCCTTGTTGCCCAGCTTTAATGTTATCCCTGTAAAATTTATTGGATTCTTCGACTGTTGAGAAACCAGCATACTGTCTGATTGTCCACGGTCGCTGCGTGTACATTGTTGGATATGGCCCACGAGTATATGGATATTTGCCAGGCAACTGTAACTTTGTAGTAGCTTTTTGGATTAATCAAAATTTGCATCATGGCTAATGTTGTAGGAGAGAATTTTAGCAAGCTCTAAGCTAATAATTATTGACCTTCGGTTCTGGATTTTTTGAGAAATTACTAGCTTGGAGGGGTAACTTCAGCTTAGGAGTGACACACGGACAGATTACTGATAACTGTTCGTATTATCAAATTGTAATTCATGGCCTCTTTCTTCCCGGTCTTCTACTCTCTTTCTCACTCAGATTTCCTTCAGAATCAGATTAGAGAAACGGATGACCTCTTATATGCTCGTCAGAATATTACGTAGCGCTTCCGTGTGAAAAAATCGCTATTTATGTTTTACCCTATTTGCTTTTTTCCGTTTTTTCGGCCCTTACTCTATTTTGATTTAATTAGGCAGATGCGTCCAGGCCAGAAATGAAAAGCACTTGCTTCAGCATCCTTGCCGATGTCGCATTTTCGGTCGAGAGGTGTATAAAGCGGTTTAATTTCGATGCCTTCCGGTGTATGCCATATCAGATCATTTGGATCTTTGCCTTTCATTGCTTTTTTTGCGGACGCATACCATTCTTCATGGATCGGCAGCTTCGCGTAGCCAGTCAGGTTGAATGTGTTTGGATCGGCTTTAGTTTCAGGCCTGGCTCCGGTTTCCGGAGTGCTGCCGCTGGTATCAACAAACAAGCCTGCTGATCGTGAAAGCGCGCAGCGCTGCAAAATAGTGCCTCAAATTTATCTGAGTTTTCTGTGGACGGAAGGAAAATTATTGTATTTTTTCCCACCTGAATACGTCATAGATTTTGTTTAAAGGTTTCAAGACAGCAGTAAGGAGCATCTCTCATCGTACTTTGTGATTGTCGAGAAGTGCTCAACACACATCAAGCACGCTTCGTAGTAGCTAAAACCTTGCCAATTGCTTCTATCAGGAAAACCGTTGACCAGGTCAGGAGACAAAACGATGACCAGGATTAAGAGCAGCAGGATGACTATCAGGCAATGCAGCGCTATAAAAGCATCAAAAAACGTTGTCAGTTGGCGAACCAAAATGTAAATTAAAAATTTCATTTATTCAAATCTTGTGCACGGTGTTAAAGGTTTAGATATAGCTAATACAATTTTTCAGCCTTTCTTTATTTTTTTACTTCCGCGCTGGCGCTTTCTGTGTAAACCAGTGAGTGTTTTTTCTCAAATTTTTCTGCCTGCACGAGAGTGGTACTCGAAGCGATTAAGTGGCAAATCCAGCCATGCCTTTCAGTTCAGCGCCAAATAAGGCCCGTACCGCAAAAATCACCTCAATTCGAGACATGCATATACTTCTAAACGCAAACGCACAGATATTCGTAAGCATACGATTTTATGCCTAGAAAATGAAG